CAATGTAGATGTTCACGTAAAGATAGAGCAGGATGGATTGTTTTTCAACCTCAATCAAATGCTCCATCCTTTGACAATGGTAACATTCCCACCATGTTGATGCCAATGAGACCCAGGATTGAACCCTTTACTGTGGTCTATTTATAACCAGAATTGAAGTGAAAATTAATGATGCTCTTGAAATGAGCTGCCCTAGGCATAAAATAGTGTAATAAGATAAAACTTTCCATTGCTATTGCTGTGTTTTGCTTGCTTTGTGAATAAGGCTTATAGTCTGCCTTGAAATTCGAGACGTTCATAGACTAGTTCTAGGAAGACTAAACTGGAGAAAGGCAAGTTCAAGTGTGTGATCTCTACCAATGAATGTTTATGATGTTACACTTTTGAGTTCTTTGAATACTCTCCATAGCAAATCTTCCCTTAAAAATGCTCCCAAGTGGCACAAACATAAGCTGTTTCAAAATTATATTGACCATCTCTGAATTTTCTAATTAGAATGTAGGTGGAAAAATCCTGTATATTCAAACTAAGCAACTTAGTTGCATAATGAATTATTCTTATTTTAATTTAATTATGTAAATTTGGTCTGAAGTCATTTCCAGTGCCTGTAAAGTTGACATTGTTTGGTTTTACTTCCAGGGCTTTTTTCCCTAGTTTCATTAAGCCCACTTGGTTCTAGAACAGGTCTTCACTTAGGGTCACAATGTTGACTATAGTATGCATAATGAGAATATAAACTACTTGATATGAAAATCAAAACATAATATGCAAAGTGACCATGGAGTCTTACATTTCTGCTTTGCTACCATAAATATGCGCTCCTTTATTCCTAAGCCTGGACTATGACAGAATTCTATGACATAGAAGTTAAGTTTTGGTATTGGATTTTCTGAAGGTTGCAGTCTATGTCATAAGAACTATTATTACCTGCTTGAAGCAAGGGTTTTCTTACTCTGCTATTTTTGTTTATAGAGCACAGGATAAAGCACTAAGTTGCACAAATGCCCTTGCTTCATGTTGCAGTGGTACCACTGGTGCCCCTGTGAACACCTCCGAGATCTTTCATCTGTAATTTCTGCAACTCAGAACCCCGGGTATCCTCCAGCTGGATACTTCTGTCATCAATCCTAATTTTCATTTCAACAGTCTGATTCCCAAATCTGTCATTCCAGGTCCCAACACCAATTTCAGACACTCACATCAGTTTTAGGATATTATGGCAAAAATGCCCTAGACTTTAAGAGGCCCTCTGGCTCAACTTCTCAACTGTCTCCCCTTCCTCTGCCTTGAAGATTGATTGCGTGGAGCACTTATAAATCAAACGACACAATGGCTGGATGATTCATTCTGAGCCCGGCCTAATATCTTATCCCTCTGTCTTCCACGAATGAAGTGTGTTGCACGATATTGTGCCAGAGAGAAAGCTTTGCAGTGTAGATCTGCGTTGCTGTTGAAGCTGTTCTTCCTAAACTGGTAAATGAGATCAGAGACGAATGAGGCAGGACTGGGACTCTCTGGAAGAGAATCATTTTCAGGGGATAGAAAAGGCTTTGCATTCAACCACCAGCTCCAGGGCTGAGAATCCAAAACAGCCTCTTAGAATTGGAACTTAACAATCTCCTTTCCAAATGACTGTGGGAGTATGGCTAAATAATTACACATCTCTCAACCATTGTGTAAACCAGTTTAATTAACATTTTTCAGGCATGTCACATTTATACAATTGCTAAATAATTTTCTAAAATTATGCTGCACTAGAAATTGCCACACATCAACTTGGATTATTTTTACTCATGGCCCTAATCATGCCTGAAAGATATCTTTTCTTTCCATATCATTTTCTTTTTTTTTTTTTTAAACAATTATTTGGTACTTCCATTGAAGATGATTCATCCTTACAGGCCAACCAGATGCTCTGTTCAAATTATTTGTGTTATGTTTATCTGCCATTGACTTAAGTAAAACTGGCATTTTTTTTGAGCAGTTATAACATTAAATTTCTTTTCCATTCACTTTATAATGAAAGAAATCTTAGAAAAGCATTCAACCCCAAATCTCGACTTAGAATATACCCTAAAAATAAAAGAAAGTTATAAAAATTAAGTGTCCAGCATCCATGGGATTAAGAAAGGAGAAGGCTGCAGACAGGCACTTTCATTGTGTTTTGGCAGCATGTTTCAAGAAAGCATTGAGTTTACTCTGTTTCAGAAGATTTAAAAAAATTGGGCACAAACAATTACTGTATTATTAGTAAAGTACTCAGATTACTCTTGGGGTTCCTTTAAGCCTATTATCATCATCATCATCATCATCATTATTATTATTATAGAAGTTATTATTATGACTGTTATTATAAATGCATTCATCTTCTCTCCAAAATAGTAATTTCAAGCAAGATTAATAAATCAAGAAATGCTCTGAGGCATAAAGCTGACATGGAATTAGAAATATAAATGGAAGAAATTGTACAATCAAATGTGCAAGCACTGAAGTCATATTTTGTGCTCAAAACACATTGAGATGTGTGGTTATATAACCAGAAGGATTAGCATTTAGGTCACTGAATTAGTCTTTTGAATTTTCTTACTCTATCAAGAATTCCATTTTCTTCCTGACATTGTTTACCATGCCATATTAACTATAGCCCTTCATCTCCCAATATTTCCAGATTTTAAATTTCTTACCAATAAATATATCTGTATGAAAGACTTGTTTGGTGGCTCTGATAATAAAACTGCAGTGGATCATATCTGTTGAATGTCATCTGTAATGGAAAGTGCTTTTGCAGAATTTTCACTTTGATGGATTAGAAAAAAGAATAAACAGATTTTATGTTTTCGCCTTGATTGTTTATGCACCAATAAGATTTTGAAGAAATCAAAATGTGGGAAATTCAAAGAAAGAATAATACTTTTTTTTTACTTTAATCAATGTTTGTATTGAAAGAAGTAGGGTTTTTTTTTTTTTTGTATATCTTAGTTTGCAGCTTTATGTAAATAAAGTAGCAGGCTTCATTTACATAGTGTCAAATCATTATTCTGGCTGAATCTGGTTTCAGCTAATATCCCAAAATGACTGGCTACTTAGAAATTTAAAAGCATAGTCTTTTGGTGCCAGTCCTTCAGGTATACTCAGACTTAATGTGCACTTACTTGCAACAGGACAGCCTAGGCCTTAAGTGATCTTTCCTTTTGTTGTGACCATAGATGTGGGGAAAAAATAGGAATGGGATGCTTTATTAACAAAGATCAGTTATTTTTGCTCTGATATAAATGATGTTGCAAACTAACGTAGAAATCCATTAGGTTGTTATGTCTAGATTCTGTACAGATGCCCTATAGCCTGATAAAATAGCCCCCAAGGGAGTTCATGCTGTTCCCAAACTCAGAACGGGGATCAACGCAATGTTATCCATCACACCTGAAACATACACAACAGCATTGCCAAGTGGCAGGTTCCCCACTCAGTCTCATCTCTTTATTCCACACCTGAGAAATGATTTTGAGAGCTTGAACATTTACACTAAATGGTTAGGTTAAAGTGATAGATGACTCAGCAAAAATAATTCTTACTCATAAAGACAGGTTAGGTCCAATGAGAATATGGTCAGTTCCATGTACTGAAACTTCACAGTTAAGAAATCTTACTAGTCAAGGTCAGTTATAAATGGAGCGTAATTAAATATCTAATAAATATCTAATGGAAGAGAATATATATTTTGAGTATCTTAATGCCCAAATCACCTTAATCTTCATTCCAAAAATGCTTCTACTACTTAACAAAAGGAGATGTCTGGGGGGAGGGTAGAGCTCAGTGGTAGAGCGCATACTTAACATGCATGAGGTCCTGACTTCAATCCCCAGTACTGCCATGAAAATACAAACATACACACATAAACCTAATTACCTCCCCCCCAACAAAATTTAAATAAAATAAAAATGAATTAAAAATAAATAATTTTTTTAAAAAGGACGTCCACCCATAGATAGGAAGATAGTTTTGTTTTTGTTTTAAACAGACACCTCACTCTGTCTGCAATTATGCAGATACTGGGGAAGAGGCAAATTTATGTTACGACAGTCTAGCTAGTTAAATTGTGTTTTGCCTCCATGCAGTTGCTCAGGCTGGTTGCACTGTTTGATAGACCTTTCCCAGATTTTTCTCACCCAGCTGACATTTTCCTCATTTCTCAAGATTCAGCTGCAGGGTCTACATCATAACTCATAATTCTCCTATCGTATTGAAATGATGGGCTATGTGCCTGTATCAACAACGCTACTGCAAAACCCTGTGCTCTGGAATTGTCTCGTTCATAGCTTAATCCCTTCCACCTAGCATGGTGCCTATCTGCGTCCTGACAGTTAAAAATATGAACTGATCTGATAATGAGTTAAGTATTTTACCAAAAAGGCAACAGCTTCAGCTAAAGCCGTTTATTCCTACAGATGAAATTATTGTCTTTTAAGTTATATAAAATGGAGTAAGGCAGTTATCACATAAAACAAAGCAGTGGCCAAAGTCCTACCCTGAGACAGAAGTAGTTTTTTGGCCTGGCTTGCTTTGGTTGACCTAACACACCAGTTACAGTCACTTCTGTACTTTCTTGTTTTGAAAGCATAGCCATAATTTAAAGATACTTGAGTTTCTCAACAGAAAAGCACTTTGTAAATTGCGGTAAGTTTCTCTTTTTCCATTATTAAACACTACCAGACATTTAGCAGTCCCTAGTATCAAGTGGATTACTGTCAGTAATACAATGTTAGGCTGCATTTCTTAAATATTGGAAAATAAGACAAATTAATGCCCAAAGAGGGCATATGGTTGGGCATTAATTATTATTTGCTGAAATAATGTATTCTAAGGAAAAAAGTTACTGTAATGTTTCATTTTAAGATGTTTGTCTACATACAAATGAAATGCAAACAAGAGTCAGCAAGTGCTCATTTGTGAAGCAAAAGGCTTCCCTAGCTTAACCTTATCTTTTTTTTGTCTTTTTGCAGGATTCCACCTCTTTTGCATCTGGGGCTGCTGGCTTTTTCCCTCCCCTGTGATTGACAGTCAGCTTCCTTGCCTGTAGCAGGACTGGGTCCCAGTGTGGGATGGAAGCGCAGGTAAGGCAGCATAGGTAATGAGACAGGCACCTGCTTTATGAGACTGCAGTGGAATTTGCTTAAACTTTTTTAGTCTTTTGATGGCAACATCACGAGGAGAAAAAAACTTACTTCAGTGGTAGATGAGCCAAACATCCTGTTTGTCGTACAGGGCCATCACATAGGCTAGCACTGTTGATGGGGTGAGGGTTGGGAGCAGTTTAAGCTGGAATAAATAGATTTGAGATGGTAGAAGCCTGAATGGACCGTGGCTAAGGGGTGAAGACTAAATTCGCAGGATGGTGGCCATTTATAACTCCTCCTATGGTTGCTAACAGGGACTAGCCACCAGCCTAGTGCTTTTCTGCCATCGCAGAGAGGTAGATGGCACGCACAAAGTAAGTTGTGCCTCAGGTCTTTGGAGGGTGGCAGGCAGCTGTTGGACCAAAGTCGTTAGTGCAAATGGACTCCCCAATTTGTGATGACTTAAAACGCATACAAATTTTCATAGTCATTTAAAGAAAGTCATTCCTTTTGAAGAAAAGACCTGAAAGATGATTTCTGGGGGTGGGGGAGGGGGAAGCCTTAGAATGTGTTTCAGAGTTTGTCATTCAAAAATTTAGTCTAAATATTCAACCAGTAATTTTTGTAGTCCAAAATAAATAAAACAATAGTTTAGGTCTGTAGGAAACACTGCACAGAGATGAATTCTGTTCTTTATATGTGAAATGTGCGTGTGTGTATATATATATATATATCTGTCTTGGCAAAAATTCTATTCTGATCAAAATACAAATTCATATATTCAATTTGTTCTAATCTAATGTTATTGGCAGGGATTTTTTTTAAAGTTCTCTAACTCAAAAGTAATTTTTCAAAACTGCATCTTTAAAAAGAACACAAAATGACTAAAGAAAAGCTAGTATAGAAAAAACTTTTGTTGAGACAACTGAAAAAATCCACAGGTCCCTGCTCCTCACTTAAGTCTTCCCTCAGCCTTTCTCCCAGGCTTCCCTCCTGACTGGAGGGGGCTGGGACCACGTGGGCACCAGCCTGGCCTGTCTGATGTGACCAGCTGCCGTAATGGGAAAGGAATAACCATGGCCAGTTACAGCCAGGCAGGCCAGTTTGCGTGTTCCTTCTCTGTTCTGTGATGCTATGATGCCAGGGGATGTTTGGGGTACAGATACCAATGCTCACTCAGTCCATGTTCTACTGGGGGCATTTCGGCAGCCTCGGTGCTCAATCTTTACATTGTCCTTTCTTTAATCTACCTAAATTATAGAGACTCTTTAGTACAGTAAGTTTACGGTTGTCCCTAACAATCGAGCTCTTCTGCCTTAATAATAGTAGTTAACATTTACTGAAGGTTTATTTGTGCCAGGAGTTGTTCTGAGTTCTTTAAGTGTGTTAATTTATGTCGTCAGCCCTCAAATAATGAATTCCACGAGTCAGATGCTCTTTATTGTCTCCACTTACCAAGATGTGGAAACCCAGGTCCAGGGTTCCAAAACCCCACCCAGTCAGGCTCTGTTGCCTTAACCTCTAGATTTTAAACCCCACATTATTCTGTTATTAAAAAAGCAGGCCACACGAAATGATTCTGTTTACCAGTTGATTCTATTTTAAAGAAAACGAAAACAACTTTAAAGAACACTTTCTACTCATTGTACGCATTCTATACAGGTATGAATTCATTTGGTCTTTGCGCCGGTCCTGTGCGATAGGCACATTATTATTACCATTGTGTGGGAAAGGAAATTGAGACACAGAGAGGCTGAGTAGCTTGCCCATGGTCACCCAGCTAGAATGAGAGAAATTCAGGGTGAGGGTGCATATGCCAATTGTCGTCACTGTTTTAACATTCTAGTCCGGCTGTTGCCGTTTGCCTTTGAACGAATTATTCCATCTTTCTAATTCTTAGCAACCTCACTGATAAAGGACAGGGGTTGATTATGATCTCCCACAAACCCTGTAAAGTGACATTGAAAAAAACCTTGTTTATGCTGATCTGAAGATTTGAATGCGAACTCCAGCTTTTAACTGGCTGTGCATTCTAACACTTCTCTGAATAGCCCCAAGAATGGTTTCTAGAAAAGGATTCTGCAGGACTCTAAAAATGTAGAAAATATTTTGATGGTCTCCAGAAATGTCAGCTTCAGCTCAGCAACTGCCAGTGGGTACAGATAATCCCCAGCTCTGTGTAAATCCTGGCTCTACCATTTAATGGCTGTGTAACCCAGACAAGAGCTCCATTGTTCTGACCTCAGTGTCTCTGTCTGGAAAGTGGAGATAATAACAACCCCACCTCAACAGAGTTGAGTGAGGATTGAATGAAGAGTCATTGAGACAATATGTATACAGCACGTGGAACAGCACTTGGCCCACAGTGACCAGTGAGTAAAAGTCTAGCCTTATTATTGCAGAAGGTCTCTGCTCCTATGAAAGGGAAGGACTGTGAGCTACTACAGTGGTAATTGCAGAGGATTCCGTCTGAGGTCTGATGAAAGCCCAGCTCCTCCCAAGATTTGGGCTCATCTTTTATCTTCAGGGGAAGAAAATCTAGTGGAATTGCTCAGTGGTCAAGATAGATGGGACTTGATACTGAGCTGAATTAGTTTGCTGAAGTTACTTAATTTCAGGAGGCCTGAGACGGAAGGCTCAAGTCCAGGTTGTGCTGTGCTAGGCGGGCGGGGACTTGGGGGTCAGAGGCGCCCAGAAGGGGATCATTGTGAGCTAGAAGCTTTTATTTAATCTGATTAATACAATGAGGCAATCGGCATTGTTAAGTTGAATCAATGAGTTGGACTGAATTTTCTAAAGTTCGTAAGGTATATTCTGCATGCCACTCTTCAGTTAAACTGAGAGGTACCAGCTTCATTATTTGCTAAAAGTCTTACAGTGCATTCTCTGATGACTAGTAACAGCATTTTAGAGCACTAGAACCTGTTTTTCCTTTTAAACAGCTCATCAGACTTTCTCAGTATATAAGTTGCCCAGTATGCAAGGTAATGGAGAAGAAAAACTTGGAATATTTTTATAAGTGTGATAAAACAACTGTGAGTTGAAATTTAACATGACTTGGAGGTCTGATTATACTTGCTTGTCACTCTTACTAGTGGAAACTCACTTTTGATATGTAGAAGAGCCAAATAAATTAATCCACAGCTTTAAAGTGAATTATTAGCTTAATGAAAATCCAATCTGGGAATAAATTAGGTCCTTTAAAAATTGATTACAGAATGTTACAGTATACAGTAATTTATGAGGTAATATATTCACTCTGCAAAGTTGTGTGTACAAATATGATATGACTATATCCAAGAAAAACAAATACCCTAAATTTACTGGGTCACTGAGACTGGGAAGCTGTGACTTGTTCACGGCTACACAGCTAGCAGATGCCAAAAGCTGGGGTCATCTTACTCTTAAATCTGCACTCTTTCCACTGCGCCCACTGCTTCACCATGGGGACCAATGTGACCACATCTTTGACTGATTTTCCTTGAAAAACAGTATTTCAACCTCCTGCAAAGATAGCCTCAGTTGTGCTTAACTGGAGACCTTGTGTCCAAATGGCTGAGAGCAAGTAACACCATTCCCACGGTGCTCAGTTCACACTCAGAGGAAAACGACATCAGAATGGAACGCTAATTACTGTGTTTGTCTACTGTGCCTGAAAATGAACTGAGTTTTAACAAAATCAAGTGTAAACAATCTACCGTATTATGAAAACATTACCTGTTAGCCTATGTAGGCCGTGGATTCAAGATCAAGAATTTAAAAGCAAAAAGCAAATAGTCAACTCCAAGAGGATGAAAACAGAATATTAAGCCTGATGTTCTGTAAATTCATACTTGGAGGACTGTAGAAGATTACTGTTTATTTAATGTTTCATTCTATTTGAAAGAGAAACTCCCAGATGTCCAATTCCACCCTACATACAAAAATTAAAAATATTCTTGATATTGATTGAGTGAGGATGGCGCTGAGCACTTCGGGGGAAAGTAACTACAATCATGGTAGCAATGTCATAGCGCAGTATTTTAGATTTACCAGTTGAACTGTTGAGTGTTTTACATGTGTTAGAAGCATTAGTTCCACAGTGCAATGAGGCAATATTAAGTTTAACTGTTTGGAAACTTCTTTTATTACAAAAAGATTTTTTTCATATTAATGCTATTTTTGATATAGGTGTGGTAATACTCAGTAAAGTATTGTGACTTTGCTAGAGTGAATTAAGGAATGTAACAGTCCACCCAGATGCTGGCCCCTTCCAGTCTCCAGTAGACACCCTAGTAGCAAAATGTAAATACCCTTTTAAAAAATAAAGAGGCTTTTGGGCAGTTGGATGAGCAGAATGGGGTGAGGGAAGGAAAGTGCTCTTCCCGAACATACTCATGCTTTTGGCTTTGACTTCATTTAGTGATAGCAGTTCTCAGAGAACTGAGGCAAACCACTCTATGCTCTGCAAAAGCATAGGAGGAAAAAAGCTTGTCATTCACAAGCAGCTATGGACAAAACCAGTGGCTGAGTACAGGGTAAGGAAATCAGGGAACTAAAAAAAAAAGTTGGAGTAAAGTGCACAGTTACTGTCAAAAATAGATTATTTTGATCCTAAGAAAATTAAGAGAATTTTATCTAATGAACTAGATTGCTGACCTTTTAATACATTTGGTTTTCATAGAACTTACAATCACCATCGGACATAAAAGACTAGTTTGCGCTTTAAAAAAATTGCTTGGAGTTATTTATCTACAGGAATCTCGTGAACGCAATTCAAGGCTAACATTCTGCAGCTCTTTGGGTAGTGGACGATTGCCTCGGACAAGTCCACAAGGACAGAGGGAACTGTGAAATTCACTGATCCAAGCGGGCATTTCCCCTATTTTCTCACTCTCTTCCCTTCTCCCTCCCTCTTTCCCTAAATGCCAGTACTTTCCAGTTCTCCGTCCTCGACCCCTGAGGTGTGAGACCGGGAAATCATCAAGAGTTTTTCCTTGTTTGTAAACTGCCTCTGCACCGGCTGGGGGGGCTTGGCCGTGGGGGGTTCGTGGCTGGGATGCTCCCCGGGGCTCTGCTCGTCACCCTGGGCAGTGGCAGCCTCTCCGTCCGGACTTTCACTGGCTGCCGCGTCCACAGCCGACTCCAGGGAGGTGCCGGCCTCCCGCAGGGGGGTGTAGCCCTTATTGCAGCAGGACAGGTCATCCGACTGGGAGCTCGGCGAGTGCGGCCTGGCGTGGGGCGAGTGCTGGGGTTGCAGAGCGGG